CCCCGGCTCTGGGGCAGTCAAGTCTGCCTGGCACGGACGTGGCTCTTTAGACGTAAGATTTATTGTTTCTTTTAAAGAAACTCCCCAAGCCCTGCCTCCCTTTCTTGGCTCACAGCGAGGACTGAGGCTCCAGATGCACTTACAGACACACACGCATACTCCCTCTGACCTCACGGGCCGGAACCTATTCCTTGGTCTTTCACTTACAAAATGGGGGTGCCTCCTCCATGTCCTGATGGCCAATTCCTTAGGACCGCAGAGGAATTTTAATGGAGGTGACGTGCCTTCTGAGGAATGCCTCCCGGGCCCCGAGGCTTCGCAGGGCTCCTGGGAGACCCGGCTTCCCACGGAGAAAAGGGAAAGGAGAGAGGAGAGAATAGGGCGTGATTGGATCGGTTAAGCCGACTACGATGTGAGCATGAAAAAAAAGCGGCCTCCTCCCTTTTCTGATTCTCCCAGGGCTGGGTCCGCGATGGAGGCCTCTGCTGGGCCCAGCAGGCCCACTGTGCGCCCACGCGCGCCCACTGTGCGGAGAGGGACTGGCTGCTGGGGCGGCGGCCTCCTAACAGGAGGCTTTACATCACAGGCCCAGTTGTAGGGGCGATGTTCTCCGGTGATTTGTTTATAGTTGAGCCCTGCAGATTCTTCCTTCGTCTGACAATCAGCTAATTCTTGAAACCGGGAGGAAATGCCGTCCTGTCAGCCCGCTTGTCTTTGAAGGCTTAGCCTCAGGAGCTGTGAGGAAGGACGGCATTAATCCCAGGATGCGTTTCCCCCCCCGACCGGTATATCATGCTGTTCCCTCGTGATTCATTCAGCCACGCCGTGCAAACACCGAAAATAAACAAAAGAGGCCCGTGCTGTGACTCGGACCTTTTTAATTGCTTTTTAATTGCACTGATTTTCTTGCTCATTTGCAAGATCTGCTCCTCGGAAGCGGTTTTCTCAGCCAGGAAGGAAAACCAGTGTCTGTCGGCCGTTTCCCCGTAAGCGCGCTGGTCGCGTGGACCCGCTGGTCCCTGTCCGCAGCCGCCTGACCTCCCCCTCGGTCCTAACTGCTGAATGCTTGTAGCCATGGCTGCGATCTGGAGATTTTAACTCATCTTCCCTCTCCCGTGGATTTCCCATTAAACAGGGACGCCTTTGCCCGGCCGGTGTGGCTCAGTGGTTGAGCGTCGGCCTATGAACCAGGAGGTCACGGTTCCATTCCCGGTCAGGGCACATGCCCGGGTTGCGGGCTCCATCCCCAGTGTGGGGCGTGCAGGAGGCAGCCGATCCAGGATTCTCTCTCATCATGGATGTTTCTCTCTCTCCCTCTCCCTTCCTCTCTGACATCAATACAGATACATTTAATCACACAAACAAGTACTTCCGGGAGCATTTTTCTATTTCCTCGTGTCTTGCTGTGACTGCATCTCAGGATAGCCAGGGCCTCCTGCAGACACCAGGTGCATCGGGGCGGTCCCTCCGGGCGGGTCAACCCGCCTGTGCCCTCCAGGGGCCTGGCGTGGCTGGCCCGGTCCCTGGTTCGGAGGCCAGACTTCTCTCTCCCTCAGGTGTCAGCGGAAGCAGTGGCGGGAGGACCTGCCGGCCACCAGCGTGGTGATCACCTTCCACAACGAGGCCCGGTCGGCCCTGCTCAGGACCGTGGTCAGGTGAGGCGGGGAGAGGGTCCC